TTACTTATTAGTGAGATTAATACAAATGGTCCCCAACTCAATCGATGGTTTAATTTATGGCTTTCTGACTTTAGGGTGGTGCATTTAGTGGAAACTGTAATGAGAATTTTGATCTTTTGCTGGGCTACTTTATTTGGCATGACAGTCTCTCGAGATGCTGGGCAGTGGCAGTGAGATGCTTTTGCCCAACCATAAGCTAATGTAAGTGTTCTGAGCACATTTAAGGTAGGCCAAGCTCAGCTATGAGGTTAGGTGTATTAAATTCATTGGATTTACTGTGTTTTCAACTTATGACTTATCATGGGTTTATTGGGGTATAACCCGTTATAAGTCAAGGAGCATCTGTAGTTTTGATGGCTTAATAGTTTTTCTTGTATCTTACCTGAACAAAGTTATGTTTATAGTATAATCAAATGAAGTTAATCAATGTATAAACCAAATCCTTCTCCCTTTTTTTGGGGTGTATTATTTTCCTTGCATTTCCTTGGGTGGGAGGAGTTGGAGAAAATACCTGGTTTTATGAAGATTTCTCAGGGCATTACAATTTGAAGTATTCTGCTCTGAAAGCAGAGAATTTCATGCTTTTCAATGAAGCTTTTTTTTTCTTTAAAAGTATACCTTTTTGCCCAGCTGGTGTGGCTCTTCGGTTGAGTGTCAACCTATGAACCAATAGGTCAGGGTTCGATTCCGGGTCAGGGTACATGCCTGGGTATGGGCTCCATTCCCAGTGTGGGGTGTGTAGGAGATAGCCAATCAATGATTCTCTCTCATCATTGATGTTTCTATCTCTCTCTCCCTTCTTTTCTCTGAAATCAATAAAAATATATTTTTAAAAAGAATAAAAGTTTATATTTTTACTTTTTTAGCATGGTAAAATATACATAAACATAATTTTACTATTTTAATCATTTTTAAGTGTATAATTCATTGACATTAAATACTACATTGTTGTGCAACCATCAACATCTCCCATCCCCAGAATTTTTTCATCTTCCCAAACTAAAAAGCCATACTCATTAAACAATACTTCCTCATTCCCCACCCCTCTAGCAATCACTATTCCACTTTCTTTCTCTATGAATTTGACTATTCTAGGTCCCTCGTATAAGGGGAATCATTACAATATTTGTCTTTTTGTGTCTGGTTTATTTCACTTAGCATATGTTTTCAAGGTTTATCTACATTGCAGCATGTATTTTATTCCTTTTTTTGTTTTGTTTTTTGTTAATTCTCACTGAGGATATTTTTCCCATTGCTTTTTTTTTTTTTTTTTAAGAGAGTGTGTATGGGGCGGGGTGGGGGGAGAAGTGGGGCAGAGAGGGAGAGAGAGAGAGAGGGAGAGAGAGAAATGTCAATGCGAGAGAGACACATGGACTATTGACTGATTGCTTCCCATGCATACCCCGACTGAGAATTGAACCCATGACCTTTCAGTGTGCAGGCCGATGCTGTAACCATTTGGGCACACCAGCCAGGGTAGATTTTATTCCTTTTTAAGTCTGAATTGGATTCCCTAGTGTGTGTATATGACATTTTGTTTATCCATTCACTTGTTGATTGACTTTTGGATTGTTTCTACCTTTTAGTTAGCGTGACTAATACTGCTATGGACGTGGGTGTACAAATGTCTGCTTGAGTCTCTACTTTCAATTTTTTTGAGTATATATACCCAGACGTGAAATTGCTGGATCATTTAGTATTGCTGGATCTGTTTAATTTTTGTGGCACACCATGCTGTCTTCCACTATGGCTGTACCATTTTACATTCCCACTAGCAATGCACAGGGGTTTTAGTTTCTCCACATCCTCCCTAACACATGCTTTTTCCTGTTTTTTTTTGATAATAGCCATCCTAGTGGGTGTGAAGTACTAGTGTAGTTTCTTTAAAATATATTTTTATTGATTTCAGAGAGGAAGGGAGAGGGAGAGAGAAGGAGAGAGATAGAAACATCAATGATGAGAGAGAATCATTGATCAGCTGCTTTCTGCTCGCCCCCTACTGGGGATAGAGCCACAACCCAGATATGTGCCCTTGACCAGAATCAAACCCAGGATCCTTCAGTCCATAGGCCAACACTCTATCCATTGAATCAAACCAGCTAGGACTAGTGTAGTTTTGAGCAGTTAATTTTTATTTTTTTAAATATTGCCATTTGACCTATCTAGCATGTGGAATTGAGGTAAATATAAGATTATTTACTAGTATTTTACCACTAGATGAATGAGAAGCATGCTTTTAGTTATATTAATCCTCATAGGTACAGCTTTTGAAAATTCAAAGATTAACTTATGAAACACCTTATGTTACTATGATTAAAGCATGAGTTTATCATTAAAGTCATATTATTAATTTAAATGTTTCATTTTACTTCATAAGTTTAGAATTTATATTTAGTAATATAAAAAATGTTGGGAAAATTCAAATTGACCAATAGCTTATTTATATGACTTATTAAAATGCAAAAATACGGCAGATACTTAATAAAGGCATTTCATTATACTTGTACATTAAATGGGATATTATTTTTCATGCTGAATTTCCTTACTAAATGGCCTATTATTAACCTTAGAACAAGCAAATAGTTTTACAATTATTACAAATTTGATCTCATCTTAAAGTAGCAATTATTTCTGATTATTGTTAATGAAGGATTGAGCTAGGGGACGCCACCTTAAGAAGACAGGAGGGGGCAGGAAACCTGAGAGATACTTAGAATCAAGTAATAGCTTAAGAATCAAGTAATAGCTTATCGATTCCCAGATGGACTGACTGAGGATGGGACCTATATTACTGTAAAATTTAGAGACAACAACCAATTTTAGCATTTTAGAAATGCTAAAAGATAGATGTTTATTACTTGACTTGAACACATAGAAATGCTAAGAAAGCATCAGGTGGAAGTTAGCAATTTGTACTGAGAAATTGAGACAGAATCTAGTTATTTCTCCTTTTGCAGAATGGGACAGAGTGCCTTTCATGCCAGTAGTCTGTTTTTTTCTTGAACTGGTTTCATAATGGAGAGTCGGCTTTTAGATAATTAGATGATGTTTAGCCACTAAAGATATTATCCTATATAATAAAAGGTTAATATTACAAATTGCCCCCTTGGGAGTTCGACCGACCGGGAGTTCAACCACTCGCTATGACGTGTGCTGACCACCGGGGGGAGGTAATGCAGAACGAAAGAAGGCCCCAGCCGGCAGCTGGGGGAAAGAAGGCCCCGATTGGCCCTGATGGCTGTCTAGGCCTAGGGACCCTACATGTGCAAGAATTTTGTACACCGAGCTTCTAATTAGATTATAATTATGCATATATTGTGTGTGTGTGTGTGTGTGTGTGTGTGTGTGTGTTTGTAATGCCATGATTAGACGCAAGATTTTGGAAAGATAACTGGCAGTGTTGTGAGGAGTGGGGAGGAAGATGAGAAAGGAGATGGAGAAAAAACTGGTAAAGGAATATCGCTTAGCAATGGAATGTAATTTGGTTCAGTAGTGAGTATTTTTTGAGGGTCTACTGTGTGCCACAACCTGGACATATAAGATGAGCTTTTACCATGAGGAGCTATGGTTTAATAGGGGAGACAAACACTAAGTGACAGTTGCAATGCAAGTGTGATAGCCCAGTACTAGATGTACTGAACATGTACACACCGTGGGAGCAGAGGGGAAGGCAGAGCAGAGGGGGGAGACGTGAGAAACTCCACTGTAAGTGGCAGTGAGGCAGTGAGCCATTTACATTCCCCTTAGGACAAGCTGGGCTCAGTTCCAACGGATCCCAAAATAGGGCAGTCTGTCAGAACCAAAGAGTGATTAGTGATCATTTCAAATACTTTGATACACTTGCTCCAGGCTGAATAATCAGCTTTCATAGCTAGAATTTATATTGCACATGACCGATATTTTGACATCTATTCTACTTCAGTCTGCATCTTTAAAACAAGAACATTACGTTATGAACACAATGTAGTTACCACACCTAAAACACTTAACAATTCTTTCTTCACCTGATGTACAAGGTTAAATGCAGTTAACTCACCACTTCACATCGTCTGCTGCTGTTTTGTTAACACCTTTTTGGGCTAAACAGGGAACCAACACCAGTTTCCTTTTTCAGTTCAATTTAGACTTGGTTCAAGTTATACTCTGGGACCCAGCAGGAGATAGAAAAATAATAAAAGTTGAAACTCTCTGCCTCAAACGTGGTCTTTAAAATGCATACCCTTTGATTCACACTCCTGATTCCAGAGAATATTTGAATGTGGCTGGTGGTCTCACCACAGAGGCTGGACCCTCTCTGTAAGCTGAAACACTGGTTACTTCCTTTACAGTGAATCGAAACATGGTTCTTTCTCCTCCATTACTTAGTGGCCCAGGCGAAAAAGAGTAACAACAGCCAGTGTTAAGAAATAAGCACTCCGACGGTGAAGTCTTTTCAAGATCAATTTGGCAAATGTATCAAACACATTAAAAAGGTACATATCCGGGACCTAGCAATTCTACTAGGAATTTCACTGACTAAAATAATCAAATGTTCAAAGATGATTGTAAAGCAGTACTGAATTTTGTAGAGATGTCAATTCTGCTGAAATTGGCCTATAAAGTTGGCATGGTTTATTATATGAAAAAATTAGAAACCATCTAAATACCTGGGCATAGGAAAAGAACACATGTTGACCTGGTTCAGAGTCTGAAGGGTACATGATAAAGTGCATGTCGCTGTGTGGGTCCTCCCCTTTGAGCAAACTCTAATTCAGGGATATACTTAGCATTGGGCCTGCAATTTACAGCGTTCTCCCATGTACCTCATTATCTGCACTCACAGCTTCACTTTGATGATAGGCAGATAGGCCCTGTAGGTGGTAAGTGGCCAATGCTTGACTAAAAAATGGTTCTATTTTGCTCTGAAAAGAACGAAGCCTTCTTAAAACAAAACCAACCAACAAACCAAACAAACAAACAAAAAACACCACAAGCAATTCCAAGACTGGAACAAGAAATATACAAGATGAACTTGGAGTATCTTGTCATAACAGAAATAAAAAATGCTCTTAAAGATTACTGGGGTAGAGGGGGTGGGTGGGGAGAGATTAATTGGGGAATTTAGATGCATCTATGCATAGCCCATGGACACACACAATAGTGTGGTGAAGGCCTGGGAGGGGCCAGTGCGGGGTGAAGGGGTTCAATGGGAAAAAAAGGGGGACATCTGCAATACTTTCAACAATAAAGATAAATTAAACAACAACAACAAAAATAACTGGGGTAATATCAAAAGACACAGGTGCAAATATCAAGTAAGCATAAGTGGGTCCCCTAGTGGCCAAATGTGGACAATTTGAGCATCACATTGTATAATAACTAAGTGACTATTTTTACATTTCCATGCGAAATATATACCAGCAATCCATAGAATAATTTGTTGTTGAATTATTATTTAACAGAAAATAATGTTATAACTGCCTAACTGTTCTCAGTTAAAAAATGTTAACTTCAATAATTTGTTTCATGAATTTTTCTCATAAATCAATGGAAATTTAAAATACTTTATCAGTAGGATAAATGTCATATAAAAGCATTTTTTTTCTTTTTTCAGGATGAAGTTCCTGATGGAATTAAATCTGCAAGCTACAAGGTATGTATATATGGATTAATGTATCCAGTATCTTAACAAAGACTCATTTCCCCTACCACTTCTATACCACTTCTCTGCTCCCCTTCACAGTGAAACCCCTTGAGAGTTATTTGTACTCAATGACTCCAATTCTTTTGTTCAGCCCTTTGTTATTTAAAGCATGAAAGGAAAAATTAAAGTAGAGGAAACAAACCCACAACATGTACCCATCACAGAGCTTCAGCAGTTACCAGTGTGTGGTTAATCTTGTTTCATCTGTACATCCCACCTCGTTCTCCCAAGTACTTAAAACCAGTCTAGGTAAATCATTTTGTTTACAAATACTTTATATACATCCCTAAGATTAAAATATACTTAAAAAAATAACCACAATCAGGCTTTGGATTTCTTTAGTTGTTTCATAAGTATCTTAATAGCTTGTATGAAACAGGATTCAAATATATTTCAGCCCTAACTGGTTTGACTCAGTGGATAGAGCATCCGCCTGCGGACTGAAGGGTCCCAAGTTCAATTCCAGTCAAGGGCATGTACCTTGGTTGCAGACACATCCCCAGTAGGGAGTGTGCAGGAGGCAGCTGATTGATGTTCCTCTCTCATCGATGTTTTTAACTCTCTATCCCGCTCCCTTTCTCTCTGTAAAAAAATCAATAAAATATATTAAAAGAAAAGAATTAGCTTTAAAAAAAAACACACCAAATATATTTCATACATTGCATTTGGTTGTTGTGTCTCTTATGTCTCTTTCTCTTTAAATAAATTTTTAATTTCATACTTTAAGATTTATAGAAAAAATTGTGAAGATAGTACAGAGTTTCCATGTACTCCACATTTAGTTTCCTCTGTGATTAACATCTTACATTTGTATGATACATTTATTACAATTAGTAAACCGATATTGATACATTATTACTATCTAAAGTCCACGTTTTATTCAGATTTCCTTGGTTTCCCTCTAAAGTCTTTTTTGTGTTTCAGGATGGCATCCAGGATAGCAAGTTACAGTTAGGGGTCATATCTCTTAGGCCCCTCTTTGCTGGGACAGTTTCTCAGCCTTGCTTGTTTTGATAAGATACTTTGAAGGTGTACTAGTCAGGCATTTGTAGACTGTCCCCCAGTTGGGATTTGTCTCATGTTTTTCTCATGGTCAGAGTGGGGCTATGTTTTTGGGAGGAAGACCACAGAAGTAAAGTGCCATTTTCCTCATGTACATCACATAACGTCTTGTCACATCACGTCACGTAACGTCATGTCACATATTGCCAATATGACTTCTTTCTATTAAAGTTGACCTTGATCACCTGGTTGAGGTAGTTTTGTCAGCTTTCTCCACCATAGATTTATTCTTTCTCACCCTTTTCGTACTGTATTCTTTGGAAGGAAGTCACCACTATGCACAGCCCACATTTACGGAGTGCTTCATCTCCTTGAGGATATAAGTTGTCTGGAATTCTTCATTATGAGAGACTTGTATCTTTTCCCTCTATTTACTTATTTATTACAGATTCTAAACTGATTTTGCTCATTTCAATCCCATGTTTTCTTGTTAACATACAAGTGAAGTCATAGCCAATTGCTAAAAAATTCCTTTTTAAAAGTTTAAAAAATGCAATAAAGTTGTATTCTATTTATTCCCCTTTTCATTTCAGTATTCTGAAGAAGGCAATAATCTCATTGAAGAATGTGAACAGGCTGAACGGCTTGGAGCTGTGGATGAGTCTCTGAGGTTTGTTTTTTTTTTGGCAGCAGCAGCATTTTATGTTTTGTTTTGTTTTTTCCCCCAGGTGAAATGTTAACTTTAAAAAACGAATAACACTGTTATCTTTGTTTGAAGTGAGGAAACGCAGAAGGCCGTTCTTCAGTGGACCAAGCATGATGATTCCTCAGACAACTTCTGTGAAGCTGATGGTAAAACCTTTTTTATAGTATGCATTTTGTTTAAGATTGTACCCAAGAAAAAAATAATTCTTTAAAAATGACTTTTATAAATTCATTTTCTAATGGTTTGGCATTTTCTCAAAAAGTAAACCTAGAGTTATCATAGGACTTGACAATTCAACTCCTAAGCAAACACCTAAAAAGACTGACTACAGGGAAACCTATTTTTACACCTATGTTTATAGCAGCATTATTCACAATAACCAAGAGGTGGGAAAAGTTTCCATGAATGGATGAATGTACAGTATAAAGAAAGTGTAGTGGTTGGTGGCATTTTCTCAAAAAGTAAACCTAGAGTTATCATAGGACTTGACAATTCAACTCCTAAGCAAACACCTAAAAAGACTGACTACAGGGAAACCTATTTTTACACCTATGTTTATAGCAGCATTATTCACAATAACCAAGAGGTGGGAAAAGTTTCCATGAATGGATGAATGTACAGTATAAAGAAAGTGTAGTACCTATATACAATGAAATACTGTTTTGCCATAAGAAGAAATAAAGTTCTGATACATGCTACAGTGTGAATTAACATTCAGAATATAATGCTAAATGAGATAAGCCAGACAGAAAAGGGCTAGTAGTATCATGTGATTCCATTTGTATGAAATATCTAGATTAGGTAACTTATCACATACAGACAGAAAGTAGATTAGAGTTTACCAAGGGCTGGAGGGAAGGGAGGTGGGGAGTTATTGCTTAATGGTTATAGAGTTTCTGGTTGGGGTCATAGAAAAGGTCGGAAACAGTGATGGTGGTTGCACAACATTGTGTATGTAATACCACCGAGTTGTACACTTAACCATGTTTAAAATAGTAAATTTTATGTCATATATATTTCACCACAATAAAAACGTTTAAAAAGGAAAGGCAGGCCCATGTGAGGTTTAGACAGCCCATGTGAGGCTGGGACAGCCCTGGTGAGGCTGAGACGGCCCCAGTGAGGTCAGGACGGCCCTGGTGAGGTCGAGACGGCCCCGGTGAGGTTGAGGTGGCCTAGAGGCAAAGCAGCATTGAGCAGAATGTCAAACTACAGTGGGAACCCTGGGGAGGGTTGTGGGGGTGGGTAGGAGATCAACCGAAGGATTTATATGCATGCATATGAGAATAACTAATGGACACAAGACTCTGGGGGTGGGGGAAGCCGGGGGAATGTCAAGGCGGGGGGAAAAGGAAACGTGTGTAATACTCTTTGTAATACTTTAAGAAATAAAGTATTTATCTTTCTCCTGAAAAGTTGTTTTTACGTCCCTGAGGCATTGACACATCTGTGATGCCTTAGAATCAATGGAATACTTCTATACTAGCTTTTTAAAGATAACTGTAAAGAAGAAAGTTTCAATAGAAACTTTTATTTTATAGACATACAGTCTCCTGATGCTGAGTACGTAGACTTGCTCCTTAATCCTGAGCGCTACACGGGTTACAAGGGACCAGATGCTTGGAGGATATGGAATGTCATCTATGAAGAAAACTGTTTTAAGTACGTGTAATTTCCATTTATAAATTTTTAGGAGATGCAGGGATTTCTCTTTGTAAACAAACAAAATAATAATAATTTAAGTACAAATGAAATTTACTTTGTTAAAGGATGTATGGGGACATAGGAACATACTTATTCATGAAACCAGGTCTCCTCTGGGAAAACATGTAGACATGTTTCAACAAATATCTTTCTTCTTTAAAAGACTTAGAATAGTATTAGACTTTTATGGGAGTGTTGTGGGCACTTAAAAATGTTCCTTGAGTGGGGTCAGAGAGCCTTGTGTTCTAGATGAGCTAACCTAGAGCCTGAGAGAGATTTACTTCATTTTCTAAAATCATATGGTTAGTGGCAGAGAATAGATGAAATATATAACTCCTTATTCTCTCTTTGGTGACTTTTACTCCTCTTTTTGTACCTATAGCTATTTTACTCACTTCAAGGTTAAATTAATTTCACAGAATAATTAAAATAACTAACACTTTTGAACACTCACTCTGTGTAGGCATTGTGCTAATAAGCATGTTACATAGATCTTCTCCTTTAGTCTTCCCAGTCATCCTGTGTTGTAGTCCTTACAGTTTAGAGATGGAGGAACAGAAATTTGGAAAGCTGATTTTAAGTGGTTTGTCCACCGTCAAAGAACCCACTTGGTACTCTAAATCGCTATAGTGGAAGCAGTCACTTTGATCACTGGGTGACTGAGACATACTTCAAGTTTACTCACTTCTAAGCTTCTAAGCTCTAAACAATGTGCTTATTGGTTTTTGGGAGAGAGAGAGAGAGAGAGAGAGAGAGAGAGAGAGAGAGAGAGAGAGAGAGAGTGTGTGGGTGTGTGTGTGTGTTATGCTATCTCAGAGATGACGGGGAATTCTGGGAAAATCTTTGGAGTTTCCAGATATGGCAATAATGCATTTCACTTTTTATAAGTCAAATATAAACATAAGAGATCAGCAAGTGTACTTCTACCCATAAAATGTCAGACTGTTTCTTTTTTTGACTTGAAGAATTTCTCCAGTTTGGGTAGTGGAGAGTTTTCGTGATTTACTTATTTCTACCATATGTTTCATTTCAATACTCTTGACTATTATTCAGAATGTTTATGTTTGGTTTACTGACTTACTTTAAAGACTGGTTTTTTTTTAAGTGAACTAAAATAGAGTCCAACTGAAGCACTTGTTAGATTTTGAATTAGTTTTATAGTTCTTTTCTAACTAATTTATATCACGATTACCACAATATTTCTAAAATATAAATGGTATTTTATATTTTATGCCATGTCTTGTTCCTCTTCTAGCCCTTTCCACTGTTTAGTATGAGGTGCTAAATTGAACATGTTAAAATATAACTTACATGTTCTGTTCTCAAAATGTCCCAACTTGTACAAATTTGTAAAATTTAAATAATGGATGTTAAAACAATCCCTACACTTCACAAAATGATCCTAATGAATATTCATTTTGAGATTTAAAAGCACTTTAGTGACATATTAACTCTCTTTTTATCCTTATTAAAAAAACACACCTTTTATTGAAATCATAACCAACTTGATGGCCACAGGGAAAACTGAGATGCCTAAGATTTCCTAAGTGGAAGATAATCTACCCACACTTTTTTTCTTCTTTATTTTAATGTTTGTGTTGGGTATTTACATTTTTTGTTTGTCTTTCAATTTGGAGTGTACTTTGTGGCATATACACACATATGTGTATGTAATACATTTAAAAGCATTTTAGTGTACTCCAGGAGAAGAGCATGAGTGGTATTTTTTTCTTCCTTTGTTTGAAGAGGTGATTAAGAAATGACATTCTGGCTGTTAAAATGGGAAAAGATCAGAAACTGTTATCATTAAAACAAATAACAACCACCTTCCCTTAAATTGCTTCCCTTAAAGCAATTAGAGAAAACTAAATATTTTATAAGCTCAATAAAACAGTTTGGTTTTGGATGTAGTCACTAAGAAACTTTCTGAGATAATTTTCATTTTTACTTAAGTAACAATATAGATGACATATTTATATTTTAAACTTTATTTTGATTCCAGGCCACAGACAATTAAAAGACCTTTAAATCCTTTGGCTTCCAGTCAAGGTGAGTTATTTAATTGCACTGTTATATTCATCAGCGAGTGAACTTTGGTTAGGGGAGGGGAAGGCCTGAAAAGGGTTGGCAAGAGCACGTGAAGTGATATGCTAGTATTCCTTTTTTCCATAGAAGTTATACCTTATTCTTGCAGAGAAATTGGTGTTTGACATGCACTTCAGGAAGGAGTATTTTTGTAATAAAGTTCCTGGTATTAGACTACCATAGTATGAAGATTAAGTTATATGTATATCCTATGCATTTTCACATAATATGTGCTCAGTTTTTCTACTATTTTTACTCATTTTCTAGTTAAATGAATGTCCAAAACCTTTTGCCTCAAATCTTTCCCAACACTTGAAATTATTTGGGAGTCTGATTTCAAATTCACAGGTCTTTGTAACTCATTAACGTTTTTCATTTTCTACTTACACTTAAGGTCTGGCCCACAGGCTTCCTTTTCCAAAAGCTTTCGCTGGTCCTCCAAACTAGAAGTGGTCTCTTCTCAGGAAGGGATCTGATGCCATGTCTTGTTTCTCTTACAGCCCTTTCCACTGTTTAGCATTGTTTGACTACTATTTACATATCTGTTGATCTACACTGTACTTTGGACACATTTATTGGTTTCATCTGTTAATTTAGAGCCTACCTAGCACATCATAGAGTTTGTTAGATAATTGATGGATGAAAAGTGTCCTTATTTAATGGTCTTGTTCCTTCAGCAAATGATTATCCACCATGCACTATATGCTAGGCACTGTGTAGGTGCAGAAGGGACACAAACCCTTCTCCAGTCTGTAATAAGCAGTTATAATATCTATACCTATTCTCTGAATATGTGCTTACCGATGAAATCTTTGATGTGCTTTTAGCAAATAAGTGAGGTTATTGTTTTTAAATTTATTTGAACAGCTGCTGATCTCATATAGTCCATAAACATAAATTTCCTCCTCAAAAGCAATGGGTTGCATCATCCCCTAAATCAGTGGTTCTCAACCTTCTGGCCCTTTAAATACAGTTCCTCATGTTGTGACCCAACCATAAAGTTATTTTTGTTGCTACTTCATAACTATAATGTTGCTATTGTTATGAATCATAATGTAAATATCTGATATGCAGGATGGTCTTAGGCGATCCCTGTGAAAGGGTCGTTCTGATAAATTAATTAGCCACCTTCACTTATCTTAAAGATACATAGGAACAATTTAAATGTTTATCATTTCGGAAGTGGTTAAATGATTTATGGTATATTCACATAGCCATTATAAATGTTGATAAAATTTGTATTCATTTGTGTCAATAGTGATCAATAACACATTGAGAAAAAACAGGTATCAAAACATTACAGAAGTAGGTATAATACATATTTGTAAAAATATAATAGCTAAATATCTATACACAAACAAAAAGGACATTTACCAAGATGTAAATGGTATTTATCTCTGGGCAGAGGGAGTTTTGGATGATGTTTTTTATTTTGTTTGTGTTCTCTTTTTAAAAAACACATATTTGCAATGAGCATATGTTACTTAATAATCAGACAGTGATAGCGTTGAATGAAAGTGGGCAAATGAAGATAATTTTTCCATAGTAAATGAGCAGCTGCATACCAACTGCTGAATTGTGCATAATTTGAGTCTTACAAATAGTCTCTAAAAATATTCCTGAATAGAGTCAAATTTTATAATGTCAGTCTGGAGGTTTCAAATCTGTAGCAGAAACTACGTTATAGCTTTAGGATAAATAAATGTGGAGAAAGCCTCTGCCAGCCAAATACCCGTAAGTCCTTAAGGTATTCAAGAGCACTCTCAGGTGACAGATTAGGTTTTCCTCTCCTGTTAGCCCATATTAAATCTTATATGAGCTGCAACTACTCTTTATTGGGGCTCTTGGAGATGATGCCACTAATCTGGCATAATTCCTATCACCGATAAGAGTGGCAGCCAGGAGTATCTCATGGATTCTGCTTATGTAGATGAACTGATGAGCTAAAACTAACCCTTATTAAAAGTCTTATTTTTATAGAAGTATAGTATTTTAAAAGGGGCATCTGGAAGGAGTTTATAATAATAAACACTTTGTTTTGTTTTTCAGGGAAAAGTGAAGGTAAGTAGATCTCTTTATCATACATTACATATATGACTTTTCTTACAGATTCAGATGTTTATTTGGAAAATTTTTTTTTCTTCTCACTTCTGAGACTCAGAAGTAACATTTTCATACCTTAATTTTTACTTCTTTATTTAAAATTCTGGAGGCGAAAGCACAGGTTAAGGGAAAATGACTGCTTGTGTCTGGGATCAGGCAGTAGGGGCAGCAGGCATCAGCCTCTGATAATTCACTCCTACGTGTTCCACTGCACGTGGAAGCTAGACAGGGGAACACCCTGTTACTGGTTGAGCTCGAGGATCCGCTAGGACTCATACAGGAAGATTCCAGGCATGATCAGAGTGTTGATTTGCTGGCGTCCAAGGTATATGCTACTCTTGGGTGCAGGTATCATTGCCAACTCTCTAATTCTAATGCTAAACTTTTTGACATATTGTAGGTTTACTTTGTCTTTTTCAGAATCCTTTTGCTTTATGAGCAAGATCAAAATGATTTTTGTTATTAAGGCCACTTGTTTAACAGTATGAAAAGACTAAGCTGTACTTAGCTTTAGTCCAGCTAGACAAAATGGCTAAATGTGAAGTATCACTTCCCTCTCCCTCAGAAGTTTATGAACATTATTTTTATGAATTGCTTTTGCATTATGTCTAAAAAAGTAATACTAATGTCTTACAACATTGCTATTTTATTATTGTACGTTAGAAGTAATGCTGAATCAGGCCCAGCCAGTGTGGCTCAATGTGACCCATGAGCTAGGAGGTCATGGTTCAATTCCTGGTCAGGGCACATGCCTGGGTTGCAGGCTCATTCCCCAGCAGGGGGCGTTGAGGATGCAGCTGACCCATAATTCTGTCTCATCCTTGATGTTTCTATCTCTCCCTCTTCCTTCCTCTCTCTAAAATCAATAAAAAACAAAAATAAAAAATAATACTGAGTCATACCCTACTCTTTGGATGAGAAATTTCTTTAGCAGTGATATTATTTTTCCAAGGAGCCTTATATTTTGTTACTGTTAGTGTTGAGCCTATAATTTTCAGTTTTGAGTAACTTTATTCTGCCTTGGGTGCTCCTAGTTCTATGCTGTATTCCACCTACATCAGGAAAGGTTATTTTGTTGGTTGTTTTTTTTTCCCAATACTATTTGAAGATCTCAACCTGCTTCTCATCAGAGAAAAGATTGTTAATCTGTGGAGGCTCTGCTTAGAGAAACTATCTTTTTTATGACTGTATTTGTATGTATTCATTTTGGTCAGATATGAAAAGGTTACCTCTGAAAGCTGTCAGATTAGGTGATTATCGAACTGGATTACAGTCAGGTCAAGCTGAGAAAAACTACATCAAGATTATAAAACTGAACTGAAAATTTCATCAGAAGGCTAGGTCCCAAACAATATCACACTCTTGCTCCTCCCTGCCCCATTCACAGTCCAAAATTTGAAAAAAAACCCCCACAAAACTAAAGGTTTTTTTTATAAGAAAACACATCACTTGTAATCCCACAACTCCAAATTCACTGATAATGATAATGGCTAAGATGACATGCAATTTTCTTCTAAGAAATTTATAAATATGATTTCATTTAACCCATCATTGATTGGCTGGCTCCTGCATGCCCCCAGTGGGGGATCAAGCCCGCAATCTGGGCATATGCATATGTCCTGACCGGGAATCGAACTGTGACCTCCTGGTTCTTAAGCCGACGCTCAACCACTAAGCCAGGTCGGCTGTGCTAGGAGGTATTACACGGAAAATGAGTCCCAGAGCCATTTAGCAGCTCAGCTAAAATCATATGACTTGTAAGTAGCAGAATTTGGATTCCAAGTAGGCAGTTTGGCTCCAGGATCCATGCTCTTAGTTACTATCTCATACTGCTTCTCTGTTAACATTTTGATAATAATGATTATTTATATATGTATACTTTAATAATAGAAATATTATAGTTTTGTATATTATTATTCCAATTTTAATGATAGATATATTATAGTTTTATATATAACTAGAGGCCTGATGCACAAAGATTCATGAAAGAATAGGCCTTCCTTCCCTCCGGCACCCAGGACCCGGGCTGCTTCTCTCCGGCTGCCAGGCACCCAGGATTCGGGCTGCTTCACTCCGGCTGCCGCAGCCACGCACCGGGACCCGGGCTGCTTTGCTCCTGCCACTGCCAGGCATTTGGGACTGGAGCTGCATCGCTCCGGCTGCTGCCATCACCCACCGGGGCGTGCTCTGAGCCATGCCTTGGCCGCTTGGAGCATGCCCCCCCCCACCCCTGGTGTGTGTCCACTGGGGCTGGGGGTGGCACGAAGTCCCCTCCCTCCCATCTGTGCACGCAGCTCCTTCTGAGCGGTCGTGATGCAGCCTATTCCTGAACCGGTTGTAACGCCCGGCTAATTTGCTTATTACCGCTTTATATATATAGATTATTCCCATGGCTACTGGCTTCCTTAACCTATGTCTTAGTCAGCTCAGGCTGCTTTGACAAAAGACCATAGACTGGGATGCTTAAACCAAGACACTTACTTTCTCACAGTTCTGGAGGCTGGGAAGTCCTATGAAGGTGCTGGCAGATTTGGTGTCTGGGAGGGCTCTCTTCCTGACTTGCAGATAGCCAGCCTTCTTGCTGTATTCTCACATGGCAGAGAGAGAGAGAGTTTGGGTCTCTTCCTTTTCTTATAAAGACTCTAATTCCATCATGGGGACCCCACTCTCATTACCTCAACTGACCCAATTACCTCCCAAAGGCCCCACCTTCAAATACCCTCACGGGGGCTTCCACATAATTTTAGGGGGTATTCAAACATTTATCTCTAACTGCCTAGATTTCTAGAAATGGATTTACTGGATCAAAGATTATGGCATTTTAGGCTCTTGATACGTAGGATGAGATTGCATTTTGTCATGGAAAGGATGTGCTAATTTACACCCCTTCCAATCACTGTGCCAGCTGACTTTACCCCTCCATTGTCAGCATTAAATATTATATTTTTATCTTTACTGTTAACAGTGGTATCTCTATAGTTTTAATTTGTATTTTTTTATTACTTATGAGACTGAGCAATTTTTGTCTATTACCATTTGTATTTATTCATTGTGAATTCTCTGTTCATATTATTTGCCCATCTGTAATGGGCACGTTAGCATTTTTATTCAGTTTATGAGCTTTTTATATTTTTAGGATAGTATCCCTTTGTTGAATTTGAAACATCCATTCATTTTATACACTTTGTTGTTTGTATTTTGTTTTTATTTGTGAAGTTTTCCAATAGACATTTTAAGTTTTCAAGTAGTCTGATTTATTCTTTTTGTCATTTCTTCCATTACTTTTATGCTTTCTTGGTTCATTTTTAAAATTACTATAAGCAACTTTATTTTTAAAAAATATATATTTTATTGATTTTTTACAGAGAGGAAGGGAGAGGGATAGAGAGTTAGAAACATCGATGAGAGAGAAACATCGATTCAACTGCCTCCTACACACTCCCTATTGGGGATGTGCTTGCAGGTACATGCCCTTGATGGGGATCGAACCCGAGACCCTTCAGTCCGCAGGCCGACGCTCTATCCACTGAGCCAAACCAGTTAGGGCTACTATAAGCAACTGTAGCCAAAGAACAATATAGTACAATGTTTGCTATACTAGTAAATGCATACTTAGAATCTTACATAGTTATAATTATTTATGTCCCTTAGTATATTATTTTAGATAAATATTTTCATGTTACACATTCTTGTCATTTAATTTAAAATATTTTTTAAATAAAATGATTTTATTGCTTTTTTTTTTCTTTTTTTTAGAGAGAGAGACAAGAAGGTAGAGGGAAACATAAATTGATTGCCTCCAGTACATACCCTGCCTGGGAACCATTATTGTCATTTTAATACTTTTATATTATTCTACCATGTTAACTAGTTATATAGTATTCTGTCTTGTTAAATTAGGCATCATTGTTCATTTTAATTATTTCAGGTTTTAATATATATAGCATAATCATCTTTCTAAAAATCATAACCCCTCTCTATTTTGAGTTATTTCTTTTTAAAAAAATATATTTTTATTGATTTCAGAGAGGAAGGGAGAAGGAGAGAGAGATAGAAACATCAGTGATGAGAGAGAATCATTGATCGGCTGCCTCCTGCACGGCCCACACTGTTGATCCGGGCATGTCCCTGATTGGAAATTGAACCTTGACCTCCTGGTTCATAGGACAATGCTTAATTACTGAGCCACACTGTCTGGGCATTGAATTATATCTTTAGAACATAATTTTAAAAGCAGAATTACTAGGTCTAACTATATTAACAGTGATCTTATTAGGTCACAGAATATAAGTGATGTTGAATGGTATATAATACTCTGAGTTATATACACTTCCAATTCTACTTTATAATTTTTATTTACTTTTCAAATTTAAAAAAAACCTATAATGAGTTCCTAGTTTTCATAGCATGAACTGTTATCAAGGCTAAGTATTTTTCCATGTGTTGACTTACCATTTAAATTCCGCTTTGACTTACTGTAAAACACCTTATCTAGAAAGTTATTAGACTGAGCTACTTAATGCTAAAGGCTTCCAAAGACTGAGCAGGAGAGTGGCACTTAACTGAACCCATACCAAGACGTCTCTCTTTCCTTTGGAGAAATTGCAAATAAAATTTGGACCTTTTGTCAAACAATCTTTCAATCACTGTTTGGCACACATTTGCTATATTTTTAAACTTTTGAAAAACTTACCTTTTGGCATTTTTGTAATCTTGTGACTTTTCTTTTAATTTCAGAGAACACATTTTACAGCTGGCTAGAAGGTAATTGAAAACTTTTCAACAAATTTAAATGATTTTTTTCCTCATTTTTAAAAAGACACATGAAGTTAATTTTATAACCTTACAAGTTTCACATATGAAATGTCTATTTCCAAATTCCCTTTTTTAGGTCTCTGTGTAGAAAAAAGAGCCTTCTACAGACTGATATCTGGCCTACATGCAAGCATTAATGTGCACTTGAGCGCACGGTATCTTCTACAAGGTATGTGATGTTTTACTTTCATTCCCTTTACCACACTTTTTTTCAGGTATTCTTAACATTTTCTTGGTATTTACCTGAATGGAACACTAGTACCCTTACTGAGTATTAGGCAGGAAAAGTTCATTCTTAAATGGTAGTAATCAGGAATACAGGAACTGTAGTTACTATAAGGAAAAGTTCAGCATTATCTTAGCTCTTTACCTTCTTTTAAGAAGCTGCTCAAAACTTTACACATCTCTCTGGAAATGTCCTTCTGTTGTGAGAACCGAAACAGCACAGTTTGTTATTCTTTAGATATTACTGAATCAGAACTCATTTATCTGTGTGCCAGCATCAGGCCTGAAATTTAATGGGTAAAAGCATTTTCTGTTGCTCTTTTGCCTTTAAGAATGCTCTTCAAAATGAGACCATGATTGATTTTCATCAGTAATATATTTCTTCTGGAACTAAAGTAATTTTTACATTTTAGAAATAAACTGTAGTAACCTGAAGGCTTCAAATTCATTAGTAATACTGGATAGTCATTTTTAATTGTGTCTTTTGGTCTTATGAATACATTTATATTCAGAAACTTGATTTTTATTGAACCTGGTTTCTCAGTGAAACATTTAATTTATTTTCCTTTTATGCATGTGTTCTAGAAGATAAAATATTAATATAGAACTATTAAAGGCTAAGTTATGAAAAGTTTTCATGGTTATATTATTATATACTTTAATATATAAAATTAAATTAATTTCTGTAGTTATAAACAACCTAATGTAATTTTATCTAATTAAGCCTACTTAATTTTTAAAATTAAATTTTTAATATTTAATTCTTTTGTCTTCTTAGATACCTGGTTAGAACAGATATGGGGACACAACGTAACAGAATTTCAGCAGCGGTTTGATGGAATTTTGACTGAGGGAGAAGGTCCAAGAAGACTTAAGAATTTGTATTTTCTCTACTTAATAGAATTAAAGGCTTTATCTAAAGTGGTACCATTCTTTGAGCGCCCAGATTTTCAACTCTTCACTGGGAATAAAGTTCAGGATGCAGATAACAAAATGTTACTTCTGGAAATACTTCATGAAATCAAGTAAATGATATATTTACACTTACATATATATATATTTTAAAATATATTTTTATTGATTTTAGAGAGAAAGGGAGAAGGAGAGAAAGATCAATGAAGAGAGAGAATCATTGATCGGCTGCCTCCTGCACGCTCCCCACTAGGGAGCTAGGCTGCAACCTGGGCATGTGCCCTGATAGGGAATCAAACCATGACCTCCTGGTTCATAGGTTGATGTTCAGCTGCTGGTCTATGCCGGCCGGGATACACATATATTAATAGAAGAGTGACAAGTGGTATCCAAAATTAAATTCTTAAATATGCAATATAGAGAAAGAAAAACTACTTAAAAAATAATTAACAGCAAATTTTGTTCATAGGTCTTTAGAATTGATTTATGTTTTTGTTTTAACCTGGGTACTAAAAAGCATATATTTTTAATTTTAAGAGCTATTCTTTTAGTAATTAGATACCTGCATTATTTTCACATTTAATTGAATAGGTTGGATTTGGGGCCAAACTTCAATTATATTTTGCAGTTAGCTTTTAGATTCAAGGGTAAGAATTTGCTTGGGGGCATCAGAGTGTTCCTTTTACTCTATTTTCTACTCTATTTTAATTATATGATTCATCACTGACCAGCAAAATATCTTTTTAGCAGACCTTTTAATATTTTCTAAAATATAAAAATGAATATTCTCTGTTTTAAAATGCAGGTCATTTCCTTTGCATTTTGATGAGAATTCGTTTTTTGCTGGGGATAAAAAAGAAGCAAACAAACTAAAGGTAATTATTTTATACTTTAACTGAATTTTTAGATACAAACTCTTAGGCAGGAATGAATATAAACCCATGTTTTTATCCTTAACAATAAATATTGATATACATCCTGAAATTGTAAGAAAAATCAGAGTCTTAATGTTTCTTTTCCTCAAAAACAGGAAGCCCAAAAAGCAGGTCCAACTTAGGATTTAGTTTGTGTTGTGTTAAAGATAACAACGGAAATCTTTGGGTTCCATACTGATGGGCTCATGTGATAAAGAGAGGTTATAAATTAAAGGAGCAGGACCTAGAGCATGAGTGGAAGTATTCGTCTGTCTTTGGTTAGAGAGAATTCTGAAAATGGTTTTGGTTAAATTAAAGGATTCCTTTAGGGGAAGAGGGCACAATGTTGTTTTGTGATTCATCTTATTCAATGGGAATGAAAGGCATTTAGGAATGCCAGCAGGTAGGTAGCTGTGGCTAGAACAGAAGACCTGATACCCCACAAAATGGGATGTTTTTTTTGCCTTGCCTCTTTTTGTTTATTGATGTGTGTGTGTGTGTGTGTGTGTGTGTGTGTGTGTGTGTGTGTGTATATATAAATTTTTAATTACAGATGACATGCAGTATTATATTAGTTTAGGTGTACAATTTGCCTTGCCTTTTAAAGAGTTATAACCTCAGGCAAGACCATCTTTGTGTCTATTTGCATCAAAATATGACAAATATAAAATAGTACTAGGAAGATTTATTAAATGCTTACCATGTGGGAAGGCATGATTTTTGTCATTAAAGGGAGAGACAGCTCCTATCCTCAGGGGATTTCTAGCCCATCGGGGGACTCAAGTAAAATTAGACTAATGTTCTTTGTCACAAAGGTCTGTGTAAGTAAAGGTGGGTGGCCTTCAGGAACACTGAGCCGATGTTATCAGAATGTTTTTAACAGTCTTCCTCTGTTTCTTGTTCTTTGTTTCTTACTGTAAGGAAAGAACCTGATTTTATGCCATTTGCAAGCAAAATCCTTTTTGCAGTCAGTTTTGTGCTGTTAGATAACAGTTATTTTTGACCTCCCATCTACCTCCCACTTAAAGCATTCTTGCTAGAAATACATACCTCACTGCTTATATAACCTCCCAAACAGCTTCCAGGAACTTAGAAATGAGGGGGAAGATGCTGTAATAAGATCCACCCCCTCCATACTAGTTTCAGTATCTTCCTTATTTTTAGGTTACTTGCTGGTTTATTGTAGAGTTTTTCGGCATTCACTCTTTTTTAGATTGCGTAAATTAGAAATATTTCTCACAATGTTTTAATTTTATCAGAACGAGAACCCCCAAGTTTGATGTCCTGTGGCATTTAACAGATAACTTTTCTAAATCCTTTTACAAGAAAGGAGTAAAAAAAAAAACCAAGAAATTTTGTTAATATTGGAGACTTACTTTTTTAAAATAGTAGTTTATGGTGAATATCGTGGATTTGAACAGTCACACAGGTTCATTTAAAAATCTTATCTTTTCTCCTTTATGCTCTATCAGTATTTGGTTAGAAATAGAAGACTTGCATGAGAGAGGATTGTTTAGTGTTTAGTTCCAACTAGAATACGATTTTACTTGAAGGCTTAAAAACATTTGAGAATTGGATGAGAATTGTTTTTTGGTCAATTGGTTTCATGGAATATAAGTCACAGTATACAACCACAGCATGTTTGATTATTCTGCCCCCTGGTTATACTTTTAATTGTTGATCTAAAAATTGGACACAAACAGGGGAATTAGGTTCTGGTTATTTTTTGGATCATAAGTTTTTCTCATCTGAGATAACTTTGGAATATATGCAGGATATTGGACATTGATTGCTATTTGTGGAAATCTCAAGGATTTTCTCCTGTTCTGAGTTAGTTAATTTCTGGCTTGTTAATTTGGTTCTAGCATATTAAGTTCACTTAAGCGCTGTGCTTGGTTTTAATTTTGCAGTGTTAGAAACCTACCCTCTCTGTATGTGCCATACAAAGATTTACTTAAGAGCTGCCTGACATTCAAGTATTTGAATTAACATGGATTCAAATACCGAATTTACACAGTGTCTACAAAAGCAAGCACAATCTTTTATAACAAAGGTTTCCATCCTTTGCAGGTATGAAAGTCAAAAACTTTCAAGGCCTTTACTCACTTTAAATTAGTAACATTTTAAAGTAAAAGTTGTGTTTTATTGATCATAACATTTTTATCCATTTGGAAATTTATAGTGCATAACACAGGGAGCTATTTATTCAGTCTCTATACAATACTTGTCTATAAATGGATTTTGTAGGCCCTTGTAACAATTATTAAGTCTCCCAGAGGTCAACACCTCATAGGATGGGCACAGCTACTTTAGAGTAATTTTACTGCTCCCTTATTAGTGTTAAAAGTATGATTTTCCTGTAATTCAAAGTTGAAACATAAGTTTAAAGAAAACCTCATATCAAATCACCAAAACCTTAAGAGTAATATGAGTAATATTACTGGGTACATATTTTTAAAAAGTAGATTTTAAATTAGGATTCTAAGCTCAGCCCAAAAGATACAGAAACACAAGATATAAGTATTGCTAACATATGGTAAACATTAATAGTAATAATGTGGGCTTTGTATGAACACAAAATTTGTATTAAAAAAGATACAAGCTCTGGGATCCTATTAAAGATCTTTTACATGTTACAGCTGTTTCAGAGCCTCAAGCTGAATAAAACATCTGGGGAAAGACTGAATTGAGTAAATTAGAGTGAACTGAAGTCTGCTTTGAATAGTGGGTTCCAATCTTTACTGATTTATTCCCAGTTTTAGATCTTTGGTCCTGTTCTCTTCTGGTTGAGCCCAGTGTGTGGTTATTGAAAAAAAGAGAAGAACACTATATGCTCCCCAAATTATAGGTCAGTTGGTACACTGGATGTTTCATCTGAAATGTATGTCAGGTTTCCTGCTTACAGTACTGTAAGCTGATTCTAGTATCAGTCCAGAATAGAGGGAGTCACGTGGAGGATCAATTGATAATTCTTACCTTTGGAGTAAATGAAGATGTGTTCTTGGTTTCCCTTCTCTTCTCCTTATTAGTTAAGGACATCTATTACTTTTGGATGAGCTGGATGTCTGTTGCCCTATTATAAACAATATAGTACCCTGATGTTCAAAGACATACACACATTTATTAAAAGTATAAAAACAAAAAATTCAGTTGGGCTGGTGTAGCTCAGTCGTTGAGCGTTGACCTATGAAGCAGGAGATCATAGTTCGATTCGTGGTCAGGGCACATGCCGGGTTGCTGGCTTGATCCCCGGTGTGGGGTGTGCAGGAGGCAGCCGACCAGTGATTCTCTCTCATCATCGATGTTTCTATCTCTCTTTTTCTCTCCCTTCCTCTCTGAAATCAATAACAAATATATATTTTTTTAAATTCAGAATATTCAATTTTACTTGTAATGGTTTCTTTATAAAACTTGGTAAAGGGTACATGGATGTTCACTATATTCTGTATATTTCTGAATAATAATAATATCTGATTTTTTTCACCTACTATGATTTTTTAACTACTATGAAGTCAAAGATTTTTATTTTTTTCTCTTCCATCTCTTTCTTTTTATTTTGGTAAATGATGCCATCCAACCCTTGTTCCCCCTTTGACATAGTTAATAATCACATACAACAGAATACCTCACAGGCATTCAGAAAATAGTTTTGACTATATACTGCAGCTTAATATAATTTTGTTACTTGTTCTTAGGAGGAATTTCGACTGCATTTTAGAAATATTTCAAGAATCATGGATTGTGTTGGTTGTTTTAAATGTAGACTGTGGGGAAAGCTTCAGGTAAGCAAATCTACCTCAATCCTATTTTTCATTTATTCTTATATATAAGCATTTTCTGATATTTTCCTTTTTTTCTTATTTCTATTATAGACTCAGGGTTTGGGTACTGCTCTGAAGATCTTGTTTTCTGAGAAACTGATAGCAAATATGCCAGAAAGTGGGCCCAGTTACGAATTCCAACTCACCAGACAAGAAATAGTATCATTATTTAATGCATTTGGAAGGTTAGTTTAAATGTATTAAAATTGTTTCTGCTATCAAGTAAGTCTAATGCAACATATATGCTCTCAGATAAAACTGGGTAAGGAATATCCTTTAGAGTGAAATTATCTCATTATGGAATTCTAGGATCTTATGATACCTTAAGTATGTAGATACAAACAATCATTATGTGATATTCTTTATTTTTATCTGTTGACTTTTATAGTCATGATTAGTTTACTGATTGGACCTCAAAATTCATCTTACTGAATTTGTATATTTTTTAATTATTATTATTATTTTTGTTGTTAACCCTCACCCAAGGATATAGTTCCATTGATTTTTTTTTAGGGAGTTGAAGGGAGAGAGGGGGAAAGGGAGAGAGAGAAACATCAATCTGAGAGGGAAACATTGACTGGTTGCTACACTTGCTCATTTGGACTGGGGCTGGGGATTGAACCTGCAACCCAGGTACATACCCTTGACCGGGAATTGAACCCTCGACCCTCCAGTCTGTGGGCTGACGCATTAACCCCTGAACCACATGGTCTAGGGCTCCAATTCTTTAAAAGTAGTTTCTTGTGCTGCCCAATTATTTTTTAATATATATTTTTTATTGATTTCAGAGAAGAAGGGAGAGGAAGAGAGAAATAGAAACATGTGATGAGAGAATCATTGATTGGCTGCCTCTACATGCCCCCTACTGGGCATTTAGCCTGCAACCCAGGCATGTGCCCTTGATTGGAATCAAACCCTGGGCCCTTCAATCCACAGGCCGGTGCTCTATCCACTGAGCCAAACCAGCTAGGACCCAAATATTTTTTGAAGGTCCTGGAAAAACTCCTGTTTTGTATAGGGGTAGATGTAAAATTTCTTTGTAAATTCATCCCTATGTAAAAAGGTTAATAATTCTTTAAAAATAATTTAATTTCATAAAAATGATTGGAAGATAAATTTGAAATAAGGCACTTACATTATTAAATTTAAGTATATCTGTACTTCTTTCTGGCCTCATATATAAAGATGCAGAGATTTGGAAAAACTAATATTTTCTAAGGACTAACAGTTATGATTTAATATTTTGGGTTTGAAATAATTGACCTCCAAAATTATGCTTTTTTGTTATAATTAATCCTCACCCGAAGGTATTTTTCCATTGATTTTTAGGGAGAGTGGAAGAGAGAGGGAAAGACAGAAACACTGATGTGAGAGAAACACATCAGTTGGTTGCCTCCTGCATGAGCCCTGACCAGGGCCCGGGTAGGGGAAGAGCCTGCAACCAAGTTATGTGCCTTTGATGGGGAATCAAACCCGGGACCCTTTGACCCGTAGGCCAGTGTTCTATCCAATGAGCCAAACTGGCTCAGGCCAAAATTATTTTTTAGTACCCAGAAGCTTGACAGTTATATTTCATTGAGTACTCTGCTACTTCTTTCACGGTGGAGAGCAGAGCTGAACTGCACTTGAAGTAATGAACAAACTTTACTTTTTATAAAAATTAGTAAGAACAATTTGATCACATGTTTACTATTCTCACTCTTTTAAGTCCAAAAGCTTTGGTTCTTTGTATATTTACTGAATATGATGATTAGTTTTCAGCACTTGTATACTTATGCATATTTAAAATGCAGTTGTTAATGGTCTACTTATACGTATGTACTTTAACTACTAAGCATATGAATATACTTGTGATTACTTAAAATAACGAGTATTTTAATATTTTTGTACTTTGTAATTCTATAATTTAAAACTTTAATAATAAGTTATGAATGCTTAAATATAACAAATTTCTGGGCAATACTATCTTAGTTTTACCACATCAAGTTAAGAACTAAAGTACATCAAAATAGATTAAATGATTTATGTACCTTTAAATTTGTTGAAATAAATTATTTAAAAGAATTTTTTCTGTGCTCGATAAGTGCAAAGTGAATAACTTTCAGAGAAAAGTTACCTAAGATAATTTCTGAGTGAAAAAAAAATTTTGTTTGTTACAGAATTTCTACAAGTGTGAAAGAATTAGAAAACTTCAGGAACTTGTTGCAAAATGTTCGTTAAAGAAAATGAGTTGAGATGTGCCTGTTCTGGACAATGGAGGTCAAAGAGTGGAATTTCATTCAAAGGCATAACAACGACAGTCTTAAGGCAAATATTTTATAAAGCTGCTTTTGTAAAAGGAGAATTATATTATTTTAAGTAAACATTTTTTAAAATTGTGTTGTCTATGTATAATATTGTGAATAAAAGATACTTTGGTAATGTGGTACAAATTTTAAAGTTTAATATTGAATAAATCAGGATTATTAAATTCATATATGTTAACAGTACCTGATGTTCTAAGTCTCTCAAACTAGAATTTTGTGTAAGATATAAATAAAACTATGGCCAATGTGACAAGTGTTTAATAGGAAAATACTAAGGAGGCTCATGAATAACCCATAATTAACAGCCTAAAAGTTTTCAATACATTTAGAGTTAACTGATTTAGTAAATAAAAATACAGAATGCCCAGTTATATTTGAGTTTCAGATAAACAAAAATTTTTAAAAAGTTAAGTATGTTGAATGCAATATTTGGGACATACTTAAAACAAAAAAATTATTCCTTATTTAAAATTCAAATTTAACTGGTTAGCTTTGTGTTTTATCTGGCAACTCCAAAATATATTGATATGAAAAAAGTAACTTTTAGAATTATGTTACTATTTTGATTGGCTTGGTTTTGTTTGGTGAAAGATACAATCAGAACTAAAAGGTATAGGGGATTTCTATGCATTGTGAAAAGTTGAAAAGATTTATACATTTATTCTCATAATACTTTACCTACTATTGAATAAATTCAGGAGAAATCTTTTATTTTTATATAATTTCAAATTTACAGGAAAGTTTCTAGGATAGTACAAAGAACTTTTATCCAGATTCATTGATTGTTAATATTTGCTTTATCTTTCTTGCTCTCTCTATATACACATACTATTTTTAACTCAATCATTTGAAAGTCAGTGACAGGCCCTTTGAACCCTCCATACCTTAGTTTGTAATACTGAGTAATTTATTAAAAATGATATTTTTCAGGAAAAAAAATCTGGGACTATAATGTGATAAGCTTTAGAATAAGGAATCATTTTGAGTTCGTTTTGTTGCCCTTTTAATGTTTGATCTGTAAACTCACAGGGATGTCATTTAATTTATTTTTTGGTATTCATTTCCTTTTTCTCCTTAAAAACTGAACTGTAATTTCTGGAGGTTTTATTAGTGAAAGCTCTTCAATGATAAAAATTTTTGAAGGGGTTTAAGAATTTATATAACATGGTGATTATAGAGAAAAAAGAAACTATACCTCAAAATTATGTGCCTCTTTATATGTCACATTACTAATGAAGTAGGGTTTATTTATATAATGGTTTAGAAATGTCATTTTACACTGCTGTATTCTTTTTCTTCTCTGTGTCCCTAAGACCTGGTGTGGTGATAAACACATAGTGGGTACCCAATAAATATTTGTTGAATGAATGTATGAATATGTACTCTGTATATTTTAAATGAATAATTTCAGAGCTAAGCTTAACGATATGTTGTATTTCCCTTTTCCCCCTTCGTTTGAATAGGGTAGGAAAAGAAAGACATTAACTTACTAGTTAAATCAATATTCTTGGAGACTCAAAGGACTATGAAATAATTACCATATATAAAAGTTTAAGGACATTTGTAGTGCTCTGAAAATGTGGTAGATGGATTTAAATGGTAATTTGTCTGTATACCTCTCTCATGCCCCTGCCCTTTTTTAACAGCCAAAAATTTTTTTGAGATAAATTCCTATCTTCACTTTGTCACCTTCCACTTGCTCTTTAACTAAAATCAGGCTTTTGGCTCTGTAGTTCTTAACAATTTCTTCCTTTGAAGTCTAAACTCCCAGTTCTAAATCCACAGTTCAGGTCAAAAGGCATTTCTTATTTGACTTTATTTTTTATGCATTTGACACTGTTGACAACCCCTTCTTTAAAAATCCCCCTTTAAACCTCTGATTTCCTTATATTTCACTTAATCCTGGATGCCTTTCTTTTACCTGATTTAATTTATACTCCTCAGGCTCTCATTCTTGCTCTCTTAATCACCACCACTTCTCACTTTTGGGTAATTCCAATTCAATGATTTCTAAATCCTTATCGTTAGCCCAGACTTCTCCATCCATCTACAACATATCTTTACTTGGTTGTCTTAAAGCATTCATTCTCCCCCAATCCTACTCTTACACCTATCTTCCTTACTCTTGTTAAATTCAGAACCATTATCATCTAAATTCTCTAGGTTCACTCCTTTCCTCCATCTTACCCCTATCCAGTCAGTGTCTAAGTGCTAGGGATTTTATCTCCATATCTCTGATACATCACTGTCTTTTCATTTTAATTCATTGCTCTTACCTAAAGTACTACACTAACCTGTCTTACACCCAGCCTGTTCTTTCTGTTTTGTTCCACGATGCTACTAGAGTGGGTTTTCTAGAAGCACTCTAACAAGGTTCTCTGATGTGTGTCTCCCGTCCCATGTCCCCCACCACCCACGTTTTGATAAAATGGACTTACAGTTCTTCATATGCACCATGGTCAGTCCCCTACACCTTGGTTCATGCTGTTCTCTTTGCATCAATTGCCCTAGCTATCCTTCCCCACCTGGAAAATTTCTGTGTCCCTGCAGGCCCCCATAATGCATCACCTCTGTGAAAGCTCTCATTTCATCCCAGGAGGACCATAACTAACTTCCTTTTTTTGTGTTACCACTGTAATTACAACCTACCTCTATTGTGGCACTTATTGTACTGTATTATTTTTGTTTTTTAAAGCCTCCTCTACTAGAATGTGAGCTCCTTAAGGGCAGGAAAAGGAACTTGATCCATTTTTGCATCTCTATAGCATAGTTTTTGGCATATGAACACTTAATAAATGAATGTTTGTTGAATAAATTGCTTTTAAAATAATAATTTTATTCTACTAGAGGTCATATTCTCACTCCAAATATTCCTCATAGCACAGTCAGTGGATTCCCAAAGATCTGTGGACTTTAGGGGCGTCAATAAAGCTCCTGAAATTGTATTCAAAATTTGGTGTGTTTTTGGTGGACTATGAAAGCAGTCGATTATGGAAAAAATAGTAAGAACTCTTCTTTCAGGGGAAAAGGTAACATCATTGAGGAATTTTTGAATAATCAAAGAATATCTGCCCAAGATTATGGGCTAAATTTATCCCTATCCTATCTAATAATAGACAAACGTGGTAATTAACCGTAACTTCGCTACCCTTCCCAATGGCTAATCAGGGTGCTATGCAAATTAACTGCCAGCAAAGATGGCGGCCGGAAGCCAGGCAGCTGAAGCGAACAGGAAGCTTGCTTGCTCCAATGATGGAGGAAGCCAAGGTTCCCCGCCTGCCGCTGCCGGCCTCTGAGCTGCACTCTAAGAAACAA